CGAACGAAAATATCGAAGAATACGCATGAGGTTAAAGACACACCTTTTTCAGATACTTTATACACAGACCTGTGTGATCTTCTGAAGTGATAGTTAATATAATAGCATTTTCATTAAAGTGGAATGAAGTTGGACTCCATTGAGGTATGAATTTCGTCATGTTAAATCAATTACTGGCAAGCTACACTAAAATTGAAATAGATTTCCGCAAATCAAAATCCCTCGCAACGAAATTTGGTACTCATTCTCCCTTAAGGACAAGAGATACAGTAATTTAGGGAAATATTAACCCTCATCCAGCCTCTTTTCTCAGATAACGATTCATTTGGGGTGCTAGTTCTCGTTTCTTTAGACATGCCGGTGACCTCTAAAAACTGAGAGCCTGGAGGGTCACGTGGCCTTCTAACAAACCCTCTGATTGGGCAATCCATCACGCCCCCACATACAACCCTGTAATTGGTTCCCATGGAACTTGAGGCTAGGAGGTATTGTTACATCATACTGGAAGAGAGAGCCCCCTGTTCCAATATAATTGTTACGTTGGTACCAACAGTCTGGAGAAGCAGAACGCCATCACTCACGTTGAAGGCGAAGGATGGGGGCTCAGGATTGACTGGTTGTGTCCTTTCCACGGAAACAAAGAGAAATTCGGTACCGGTCAACTTCCCTTTCATTTGTATTTATTCGGCTCCCCTGTACGTCTTGATGGGGGATCGAGCTAGGGTGATGTTATTTTACTTTCACTTTTATTCCCGAGATCCAGTTCCAGCCGAAAGCTGATCCTAATAAAGTGAACGTACGTTGAATGCAGTATGTAATGGACGCATTGCCGAAGTTGCATCAGAAGCATCTCAGCTTTGCTCCGATGTTCTTAACACTCTTGTTACGAATATGCAGCTGATACGACGTTGATAAAAGAGCCTGACTATTTGTTGACACCACGGTATCATCAGGGACCCACAACCCATTGTCTCAAAGTGTTAAGGCGGCAAGAACATTTATAGATACTCTGAAGGGGCGGGTTTGGTTCCGATTTGCTTTAGTACATAAATTTAATTTGTTCGTAACTAGGAGAACGGACTGCACAAGTAAATTGTGAGATTACTGAAATTCGCTATTATTACAACTCTATGAAGATCTGATACAAAATTGATACGGGAAGCACATTTTATTTTGCGACTTTCAACGACTCTTTTGACGATAAGGTTAATATTATAATTAGTAGAATAAATTTTACGATATGGTCCTGTGTGAGGTGTGGGTAGAATGGAATGTTATCGATGTGAGATATGTGAAGATCCATGTTGGCTTTTGTGGGTTAAAACGATGATATCTACTGACAAGTTCAAACGGCTTTGCAAATCGAAAACGAACATCGATTTTTCCAGGGTTTCTGTTTAATGTAAGATCCAGAACCACTTGCAATATTAAAGGTGCAAGATAAACGCCATCCTACAAGCATTGAAAGTATGTCTGGTACAGTGCAGCAGTACATATGATAGTTCTACGTACGCTTGCTGTCTAATGGAGGCCTCCTTTGTCTTGATCGGCTCGTGGTCTGCTTCAAAGGATCTCGAATTTCGACCGCGTTTCTCACTCTCAGTTGCCTTTGTCTGGCATTCTGCTCGCAGGACGTGTTCCAGTGTGTCTGCTTCGTAACTTCAAAGTTGCAGTGCCGGTAACTCATAAAACAGCATGAGCAATGGACGAATATGTGACCTGTTCACTCGTGTCGTTTATATTTCTCTCTTCATTATTCATGCACAGTATCTATTAGCGCATTTCTGTTTCGATTTTATTGTTATTTATTGTTTCCTGAGGGAAAATGTAATAGGCGCAGTTTTAATCTGAATTAAGCACGAAATTAAGTGGTATGAGAAGTTGAGATGTGCCACCGTTTGTTCAGGTTTAGAATTATCACATTTGTGTTTTTATTTATGTAATGTTAACGTAACCTCGGAGAGAAGTTAGACGTAGACCGCTACACAGCTTCTGTCATTTTGTGAGTGTTATTTGAACGGCCAGCTTTTGCTGATAATGTCAGTTTATTGGAAGAAAACAATTATCGTAAAGACACAGAGGTTGAATTGTTAGATGCTAGTAAGGAAATAAGTATTTTGGAAAGATGTTAACAAATCAGAATTGAGTTCACGAGTACATAAAAGCAGACAAATTTCAGGGAATTTCTTCTTCCATGCAGTTCATAATAATAAGTAGTCTGTATAAACTATGAAGTGCGTATTTAAATACTTCTCGGATTTAATTTGTGCGTGAGTGATTTCGATAGTCAGTCGATCAGTAACGTTAGTGGTCCAACTATTGTTTTATTCGAAACATATGTCATTGGAACACAGCCTGCATCAAACGTGTGGTTTCAGAGTTGGTAGGAGGAGGAACAAAGTATCGCCGAGGGAGAAACATGGACCAACCTGAGTCGTGTCAGGTGAAATATGTTACCGCCATGACGAAGCAGAAGGTTGCAGCAAGTGGCTGTTGTTACCGTGAATATTTCTCGGGGCAACCACTCCAAATTCTATTGTTATTAGCATTAGTCCATTACCATTGACTAGTGGCGTCATGCACATTCCTTCTACACGTATCATTGCACCAGGAGACAAGACAACGCAGCGTTACCTGAAAGGAATTCTCTGCGGTTTTTTCGTTCTCAAACTTTGTATTAAGTTGAGTCTCGCAGAAACTTTGAAAACTGTTAGCAGAATCTGCGAACCTCAGTGCTCTTCCTTCATTGCTGTGAGCATTCCACAACTGTAACTAATTCCATATATCAGAGCAAATATTTACTCAGCAGGTCAATAAATTCGTATCTTTTATGGCCACCGTCAGTTCATTACGAGAGCCAGCGAATGGTCCCTAACCGACTCGGATGAAACCAGTGAGTTTTCAGGTTCTCACGGTAACAAGTATAAAATGGCTGTCTTCAGGGTTGTTTTGTTGTGTAGACTGGTAGGAGTTTCAGAGG